TCTTCAAGGACCCGAAACCGACCCGGCTACTGTGAGGAAAATCAGAGAAGCAATTGATACACAGACAGATGTCACCGTTCAGCTCATCAACTACACAAAGACTGGTATGTTTGCTGGCCTTCCCCTCGGTTTTTTGGTTCGATCTTCTTATTCGGATTCTTATTGAGGTGTAATTGTTAATGAGTTTATGTTGTAAATTTTAGGGAAGAAGTTCTGGAACTTGTTCCATCTACAGCCAATGCGCGACCAAAGGGGAGAGGTGCAATACTTCATTGGAGTGCAATTGGACGGAAGCCAACATGTAGAGCCGCATCGCAACTGCATTCCTGAAGACAAGGCCAATGAGGGTGTTCACCTGGTTGGTTCTGCTCTCAGCTCTAACTTCACATGAATAAACATGATTAAGCAATGTTTTGTTAGGAAAACATATCTGACCATACTGTATTGGTGATCCAGACATTCATCAACTCCAGCTTTTTTTTTTCAGAAACATCATCTGTTTCTTCAAAATTAATGTTCACCAAACAGGCAAGGTGATTCTTGTTGCTGATTTTTTTATTTTTATTTTGAATGTGCTAGGTGAAAACAGCAGCTGAAAACATCGATGAAGCAGTCAGAGAGCTTCCAGATGCCAATCTGGTAATGTCCAGCAAAAACTGATACTCCGGTTTTTTTTAATTGTTCATATAAGAACATGAAGCTTACAAACTATGTTTTCACTCATCTTGCAGAAACCTGAGGATTTGTGGATGAATCATTCAAAGGCAGTTCACGCAAAGCCTCACAGGAAAGGAACCTCATCTTGGAAAGCTATTCAAAAGGTATCTTGGCATATTGGGTGTCATGCATTACACACACACACACACACTCAACAACAACATTACCCCAATGCCTCTAAGGCTCCCGCCCATTACGGGGTAATGGGTGTGGGATGTACGCAGTCTGGCCTGTAAGTTCAAAACATAGAGCAGTTGTTTCCAGATAACCCATGATGAGTGTCGAAAATTGCATTGACTAACTGCTACTTCACTATTAAAACAAGCACAAATAGTTTAAAGAGCCATTTTATTGAAATCAAATGTGTGTGTGTGTGTGTGTGTTTACATTCGAGTGTACTAGTGTATGTGCAACATGGGGTAAAAGCTAGCATGCATACAATGTCAAACACTCTCTGCAAAGATTTCTCTTGCAATCGTAAGTCACATAACCCGTATATTACATACTACACAAATTGGAGCCTTACGAAAATGCATATTTAAAAATTTCGCGCATTAAAATTTGTACAAGCATTTGTGACATACGGAGTAATAAAAATTAAAAATCCTTTAGTGCATTTCTATTAATGCATGGTCTCAAGTTGACTTCCTTTGAATATGTGCTTCTCTGCGTGTATAAATGACAGATTCTCGACAGTGGAGAAAAACTAGGCTTGAAGCATTTCAAACCAGTAAAACCATTAGGATCTGGTGATACTGGCAGTGTGCACTTAGTGGAATTGTGTGAAACTGGTCAATATTTTGCTATGAAAGCTATGGATAAGAATGTGATGCTCAATCGAAACAAGGTAAGATAATTTTTCGTACTTTTAATTATTCTTGTGGTTGTTGTTGTGGGTGTTGGATCATTCCTTTCGATTGCTGCAGGTTCACAGGGCTTGTGCGGAAAGAGAAATCCTGGACATGTTAGACCATCCATTTCTTCCTGCACTATATGCTTCATTTCAGGTCAGCTGAATTAGAAACCCAATGATTTTAACATAATGATGTTTAATTTTCAGTGAGTTCGGAACTCAGAAAATGCTAGGGAATGAAAATTGATGAGAAATTCAGATGGGAAGAAAATTCGGGGGGGGGGGGGAATAAAAAAGCTCAAATGCCAGATTGCCAGTAAATCAAGTTTAGATATTAGATCAAATGATGTATAATTATATTTATCAAATAACTTTCATGAATATTCAGCACCTTTTAACTATCACTAATGAACAAATGAACCTTTTTTTCATGTTGTCTTTCATCTTTATCTTCCATCTATTTATTTCAGACTTTTGAATTTGCTGTGTGCTTTGCAGACCAAAACTCATGTTTGTCTAATAACTGATTACTGTTCTGGTGGCGAGCTATTCCTCCTCTTGGACAGACAACCAACAAAGGTGTTGGAGGAGGATGCCGTAAGGTAGAAAATATGGAGTAACATAATGTGATGAATAACATATTACAGATTTTAAATATCAACTGACATCACACTTCTTCCTGCAGATTCTATGCTGCAGAAGTTGTAGTAGCGCTAGAATATCTTCACTGTCAAGGTAAAAAGTGTTACATTTCAACAGTTTATCTTTAATAGTCATTATACGTAGTATATGTTATGTTCAAGATATTTTTAAAGATGTATATTTATCTCTTCCAAACAGGTATAATTTATAGAGACTTAAAGCCTGAAAACATTTTGATCCAAAGCAGCGGACACATAGCGTTGACTGATTTTGATTTGTCATGCTTAACATCCTGCAAACCACAGGTACTCATATTTCATACTGCCCTAGTCCCCTGTGCCACCTTCACAGCGATTGCAAAATTTAAAGAATTTGGCAACTTATTCCTTTTTTTCTCGTTGTTTGATCAGCTTCTAGTTCGTGAAGCCAATGAGAAGAAAAAGCATAAAAAAGGACAACGGGATCCAATATTCATGGCTGAGCCAATGCGTGCTTCAAATTCTTTTGTTGGAACTGAAGAATATATAGCTCCGGTTAGTGGAGCTTGAATTTCTTCTCATTCTTGGTATCATGGGCCAGTTCTGCGTTACTATTATAGTACGTAGTATTATGATAAAAGTGTCTTAAAATTTACACATCTTCAATCTCCCTAGAGACGGCATATTAGTGTTATAGAGTCCTTGTTGTTATGGTTTATGAAATATTAAATCTTGCAAAGAAATAACTGAGTTATTAATACTTTATTTTGAAACATTCAGGAAATCATAACTGGAGCAGGCCATACCAGTGCAGTGGACTGGTGGGCTCTTGGTAATCCTTTTAACACTACCCTTACAAATAACTATGATCATAACTACTTAGGGGTTATTTGATAGAGATTATCTAAAATGAATTGAACTCTTCGGTGCTATACTGAACTGGATGCTACTATACTTAAAATGAATTGAACTTATCTGCCCTGTTCTGTTGCTAGGCATTCTTCTATATGAAATGCTTTATGGATATACACCATTCAGAGGCAAGACCAGACAAAAGACATTTGCCAACATTCTGCACAAGGACCTGAAATTTCCAGGAAGTATACAAGTAAAGAAACCATCCCAATCTCAACCACTAGTAACAAATGTATAGTTTATTAGGTTTTTGAATTTACAGTGGAAGTGCATTCTAACATGTGAGTTGATGCTCGTGCAGGTTAGTCTGCCAGCCAAGCAGCTAATTTACAGATTGCTGCACAGAGATCCTAAAAACAGGTTGGGATCACGCGAAGGAGCAAACGAGATCAAGCGACATCCGTTCTTCAAAGGAGTAAATTGGGCTTTAGTCCGATGCATGGTAAAACTCATCATTCCTTTAATTAGCAACGTGATTCTGTATTCGTGTTCCATTACTTACTTGAAGCTAAAACATGATCAACAAAATGTTTCTTTTTAGCTCCAATGGCAACGAACGAATGAAATGGAAAGCATTTTCATATGACTTTTAATGCTATATTAAGGTCCACTATGATCATATTGATAAATCACTCCGGGAAAAATATAAGCATATATAAACCATCATATAAAATCACGAGTGGTTCCTTTCTCGGTTTCTTAAACAACCTGGAAAAATGGCAAACACAGTTTGACAAGTGTCTTATTTCTGCAGAGCCCTCCAAAGCTAGATGCTTCTCATTTTGGAGCAAGTGTAGACGGGAAAGACGAAAAAACTGACCCTGGAATGGAGGACTTAGCAGCAAATATCTTCTAAACGGGCAGAGGGAAGCCCCGATACAGATGACCGGCTCATTCCCGATCAATGCAAACAAGGTTAGGGATGACGATCGATGAGAAAGAAACTCAAGAGCAAATCTGCAGTTTTACTTTTGTCAATTTTTATTTTGCTTTGGCATTTGTAAAGGAAATCACATTATTCTTAATTGGTGTTAATGGTGTTTCCCCTTTCCCACTTTGATGTTCTTACAACGTGTAATTGTGTACCATGTTGTTTGTATTCATGTACTGCATTTCAACTATTTTCAAGTTAAAATTAACCTACCCTATTCTCCTAGTATAATTCTTGTTAATCCGTCTGTTGAAATTATGGCTCAATGCCTCAATGTATTTTCATTCTTAGTGTCCGTTTGGTATACGGAATTGACGGAATTGAATTGAAAGTTGAAATTCTATGGATTTGATTTAGATGAAATTGAATTCTCTGATTCCAAATCCACATATTTTTGTGCTATCAAACGGTAGAATTAGAATTGTTGTACTCAATTATAATTCCATATGTTGAATTTCGTGTACCAAACTGAGCCTTAACGTATTTCAAGTTTTCAATTATACAATTTTACAGTTAAGTATTCTGTGTGAGAGATATAGTCTAGTCGTAAATATTTAAAGAAGAGAGTAATTAAAAAGGATAAGTGAGGATAGAGGATGCGAGTAACACAAATAAATACTAGAACATTGAAAAAAAGAACAATTCTTCTAAAAAATGCCATCTCTTTCACGGGAAAAAGAAAAAAAAAATAATAAACAAAATTCTCAAACTTTTCCTTTGACTTGAGTGGTAAGAAGCACTCTCCAAATTAATGAAAAAGTTTACCCAGGTTCAAGCCCAGCAGAGACGAAAGCATTATATTACCTTGTAATAAAGGGCTTGTTTGGGAATAGTGTTAGAGATTAGCGTTAGCGTTTTGGATAAAATTTTAACGGTGCAGATTACTTTGAAAACGCTAACGCTAAACGCTGTCCGTGGATAGCCTTTTCAAAACGCTAACGCTAATCGCTAAAGCTATTCCCAAACAAGCCCATAGTCAATAGCACTAAAAAATAATCTTGGTGCCTCTTGCAAAAATGAAAACAAAAAAAAAACAAATTGGCGGTGTGTAGGGCGAGGTTCAAGTAAATGGCCCTTCCATTATTTGATTTATTTCCCTGGGAGGGAATTAATTAGGCCTGGCCACCCATTGACGGTTCAGTAGGAGAGAAACTGGTTCTGCTGCTTCTTCTTCTTTAAGTCCCAATAACAATGGCGTCTGATAACAAATTGAAGAACAACCAATCATTAGTCTCCACTATGATCAGGCAAGGCTTCATTTCCGACCCTTTCCTCTCATCTCCGCCTCCTCCCTCCAAACTCGCCGCCGCTCTCTCTCCGCCGCCGTCCAATCAGAGCCCGACCCTCTTCGAGATGATCTCCAAGGAGCATTCTCGCAGCTTCAGACACTCTCCGGACTCCCTCCACCGAGCCCACGACCGAATCTCCCGGGTTTTGGCCCGCGCCCCTTTCCAAACCCCAATCGCCGCAAACTGCCGCTACGGGCCAGCCGACGTCAATCTGACGATTGCGGCGCGTGACGGAGGGCCCAGGGTTTCTATGGACGTTCATCGGCGGGTGCTGGTCTCCCGGAGCAGATTCTTCGCCGAAAATCTTCGCAGCGATGGGTCCCACTCGGTGGAGATCCTGGATTGCGACGACGCCGAAGTCTATGTGGAGGCTGTGGTTCTTATGTATTGTGATGATCTGAAGAAGAAATTGATTGGTGAAGGGGTCCCTAAGGTCTTGGGTCTGCTAAAGGTATCATCTTTCTCCTTTTTCAATTAATTACTCAATGTTGAATGCATTTCTCCCCTGCTAATTCTTTGGTTTACTGGGAAACTTAGTTTAGTTTGATTGAATCATTATATGCTATTGAGATAGAGTAGACCCATTCATGTTCTTGAGCTTCATTCAAGTGAAAGAGATAATGATTTTGCAGGTGTCTTCGGCTATAGCATTCGATGATGGAATAATGGCTTGTTTGGAGTATCTGGAGGCAGCTCCATGGTCTCCAGAAGAAGAGGAGAAAGTGGCCACTCTCTTCAGTGAACTTCACCTCTCCGATTCGGAAGCAACTGATGTGCTGCAGAGAATAGTCTCTGAACCTTCGACCTCTCCCAGACCTGATGAAATATTTCTGAAACTGTTCAGCGGCGTTCTACAGGCGAAAGACGAAAAAGCCCGCAGAGAGATGAAGACAGCAATGTCTGGTCTCCTCAGCGACGAATCCACAGACATTTCTCCTGAGATTCTGCATCACATTTGTCGTGAATGCCTTGATTCTCTCTTGGTCTGTGCTTATGAAGCATTGGGTGTGGATGAGAGTAACAAGGACCGTGGAGCCATAATGGGCGCGGTCGCTAGAGAGGCAGACAATGTCCATTGGGTGGTGGGTATCCTAATCGACCGAAAGATAGGGGACGAATTTGTTCATTTATGGGCAGACCAAAAGGAGCTTGCAGCTCTTCATCCAAAGATCCCAACCATGTACAGACATGACATCAGCAGGATCACGTCGCAACTATGTGTGGCAATTGGTAGGGGGAGTGTTCTGGTGCCCAAGGGCACACGGTACGCGTTGTTAGCGACTTGGTTGGAAGCGCTGTATGAGGATTTCGGGTGGATGAGTAGAGCGGGCAGGTTGACGGATAAGAATGTGGTCGAGGATGGGTTGAGCCAAACGGTCCTCACTCTACCGTTGCCTCAGCAACAAGAAATCATGCTTCGTTGGTTCCAACGGTTTCTTGACAAAGGGGACGATTGCCCCAATATCCATAAAGCATTCCAAGTGTGGTGGCGAAGGGCTTTCATTAGGCGCGATTTGGTAGGCGATTCGAATCGTCATTTGCAGTTAGCTCTCTGTGATTATCCTCTGTCTACCCCAGAGTAGGGGTAAGGTCTGCGTCCGTTCACTCTCAAGACCCTAGTTTTTGTGGGATTCTACTGGGTTTGTTGTTGTCGTCTCAACTGAGGATGATACGTTTTGTTTTCTTTTACTCGATAAATTAGGGAGATGTATATATAAGATGGTATTCTTTTGAATTTGTATTTTTATTGTGTGTTTGTTTTCCACTGAAATTATTCATATGTTGTAAGTGAGAATAATGACATATGAATTGTAACATTTTATATTCATGTGTTGCCATCATCTATATCTTTTCATTTATTTCTGATAATTAGCTATTGACAAGTTTCAATGCATGTGCAATTTACATTTCAAAGTTCATAGGTGAAAGCTCCATTTAATTTCTAGACCTTACTTATGAGAGACTTTATTAGATTTGTTGTTACTAAGAGTCGGGCTAGAGACCCTCCAAAGTTGACATCACGGAAGATAATTGTCACTGAATTTGTATAAACCTATTGTGTGTACAAATTTATGTACAATTGTCATCTATCATGTCAATTGTGATGAATTTCTAACATCTTTAACTTTTGTTTGGAAAATGATAAATGTACCTTGATTTGGCCTCACTTTAAATTCTTATATTTTTCCAACTCTTCAACGCAATTTTTTGAATATTTGTATGAAAAGTCCGGTGAAAAGCAAGGTCAAAATTAAAGACCCCAAGCATAACTCTTTTTGTTTAATTGTTTAACTAAGAGTAAGGCTTGGGGCTTGTAAAAATTGAGTCAAGCCATCACTATTCCGCCGGATAGCCTTTTTTCAATCCTCAGTTGTTTATTTTTTTATTTTTTTTTTTTTGAAACAAAATAATTAAATTAGGAAATCAAAGGAATAAAGTTTGGGGGTGTGTCAAACCACTCCCCTACAACATCATCATTGCAACTACTACGCGCTAACAAATGCGCTGCCTCGTTTCCGGAGCGAGGAGTAAAACAAAAATTAAGGTCTCCTGCACAGAGCATTTGGAGACGCTTACAATCTTCAATGATAGAGTTAAAGTAAGACCAGTCCATGATAGTACTATTAAGTGAATCGACAACCTCCTTACAGTCTGTTTCCACAAGGNTACTTTTAATCCAACTAAGTGCTTCCTTAACTGCGATGGCTTCTGCTTCACGTGGACCAAAACTCCCTCTACATTTAATATTTTTAGCAGCTACGAATCGGCCTTCATAATCTCGCACAATAAAACCCAGGCCTACATACCTATCAACAATCCTCAGTTGTTTATGGTGTGAAAGATGTGTTAAGATGGGCGAATTTCTAGAATACAATTTCGAATTGGTAAGGGGAAGACAATAGCTATTAGGGTACCTTGAAGTCATATTCCCGTTGTCTCTCTATCCCAAATTAAATTGCATGTTTACTACTCTCTCCGTCCCCCAGTTTTTGTCCATTTTCATTTTTACACACCATCCAATACACTTCTTTAATCCATTTTATCTTATAATTTGTATATTAAAAAATTATAGAAATTATATATATTAATAATCTATATGTTAAGACAAATCAAACAAGATCACACATGACTACGTTTAAGCTTACACATTGAGAGAATTTGATGAGTCAAAGTGCTTAGATGAACAATTCCAAAAGTTAAAAGTGGACAAAAACTGGGGGACAACAACAACAACAACAACCCAGTTAAATCCCACAAGAGTAGGGTCTAGGGAGGGTGTGTGTACGCAGACCTTGCCCCTACTCGAAAGTAGAGAGGCTGTTTCCAAAGAGACCCCCGGCTCAACGTCGAAAGTTGCATTGCTTGACTAACTGCTACTTCATTAATTAAAGAAGCGCAGACAGTTTAGAGATCCATTTTGATTTATTCCATCACACCCCAAAGCCAAAAAATGGTGAAATTTTGGCTTCATCGGAGATGATGGAACTAAACTGGGGGCCAGAGAGAGTATTTATAGAACTAAATTTCATTCACTTTCTTTTCTTTTTTCGTTAGTAATTTGATAAAATGATAGTCATGTCACGACTAGTTTTGTACTCTATATCTTTTGATGTAGTTTTTAAATATGTAATTTTTTTATTTTAATTCTACAACATTTTTCATATAAAATTATTTGAAAATAACTTGACTCAAACATCGTAAACCGAAACAAGCAATTTAAATTTGGGACAGAGGGAGTATTATTTACGTCCCAAATCAATTCTTCTACTTTGAATCTAACAGAAATTGAGAATAACATTGAAAAAAATGTACCCAAGAAGTTGAAAGCAAAACATGATTGATTAAAACATTTTGGATCACATATCTTCTATCAAAGAGGTATAAAAAAGGAAAATATTTATTTTAAGAGCAACTGACCAAGTAAAACTTGGCTTTGTCTACGTCTAGGGGCAGTGATGCAGTCCATCCAAGTACTGACACGTGTCCCCAGCACATGACATGGTTTTTTGGACATGGGTGATACAAAACCATATGCCATATTCATTTTGACCATTTCTGGGAGAGAAGCATCCAGAGCACATGATCCACTCTCAATTATTACTCGGTCAATTCCAAATTATTCGTTCGGTTTACCTTTTTTGAGTCAAACTGGACAAATTCTAAGAATCGATTATATCAAATTTTGCATAACATATGAATACAAACTAGTACTCCGTAAAACACGTAAAAAAAAAAGTGGGAATCTTAAGAATTAATGCCTGGGTTCTGTCATGGCTTGTGCATCAGTTTGTACAGCTCAAGTCCTCCCCTGTGGCACCCTGGCATTTTGCTCGCTAAGCTCTCCAATTCACTCTGATCAACAATCCATCAATTTATAAGCAATTTATAAGTCAGCTTATAAGCAATTTATAAGTCAGCTTATAAGCACATAGAAACATGTCATGAGCTGACTTATAAGTTTAAAATAGGTTATAAGCAATTTTGAGAAACACCACTTAGTATTGGAGGATGCATCATGCATGGTGAAACACTAAGTAGAAAACATGTAAACTTGCCATTGAAACAGCCTGAAGTTGGGTTGATTCAAAACTGTCTTCTGCACAGGAATACATGTCCTGAATTTCCTTAGCCAGAAGATTGCATTTTATGAAGAAAAAGGCAGTTGGTCGAACATTCAACACCCTTTGTGATATGCCTATAAAGATGGGGGTGGACTGCAATTTTTTTTAAATTTTAACCGCGTCAGGAACTAAAAATCCTCAAACAATTTTTACTTCAAAAAACTAAAATAAAATTAAAATTTTGCACGTAGAAAAGAGATGAAAAGAAAAGGTTTGACATACAAGATTAGCTGCAGGAACGCCAGTTTCTTCCACAACTTCACGGGAAATGCTATCAAACATTTCTTGAGAAGCTTTTCTGTTAATAATCTCGCAGTGATTCGGGTCTGTATCACTCTTATGGCATGTCAATCCAACTGCATTGGGCTGTCAAGTAGCAAAGTATAGCTAAAGACCCCACAAATATTCGGCTAATTTCACCTAGGAGAGAGCATTGTAGTACCCCAGTGCAGCACTGTTCTGGGACCAAACTGCTGGTTCCCACTTTGAAGAATTGAAACTGAAATTTATTCTTTTTTCTTTGATTTTTTTTAAATACCTCTGGGTGGCCGCCAGGGAAAACAAAATATCCAGGAAATTCTCCCACGTTATTACTTCTTCGAAGCACAAGTATCTTTTTGTCAGAAGTCTCAACAATTGCTCCATTGCCAAGAGGATTTGATGTATGCTGACACTGCGAGCGATCATCTACAATGAAGCAAGGAATTGTTTTTAGCACGTACATACATTGAACTCCATATGGTTCATGGTTTATGTCAATTGTATCTTACCAAAATTAAATAGTTCAACATTAGTCAAACATGACTTTTATTTTTGGGACAGAGGTAGAAGATTTAACCTACAAAAACAATAGGAAAATAGACACGTACTCCTATTTCGTGTAGTTTTACCTTCAGACTGAACAAGAAACTTTTCCCACAAAGGACTCAAGTTGGTACCCACAAATGTCCTGCATAGATAAGGTTATACACTTATACCATTAAGTTAAGTAGGACGATAACCTCTTTCAAGGTCTCAAATGTTGACAAAAGGCGCAAAGGAAAAGTTGCAGGCTGACATTTCTCTCTGCAAGCCTAGAATGCTTTTTTGCACATAAGGTTATACACTTTCTAGGCTTGCAGCATTCCACCCACCTCGGTATCTATTCACATGAGAGAAATAAATGAAAAGTTAATGAGGCAATGGATTGATAGAGTGGAAAGACAATGAGAACCTATAATCCGTGAGACCAAGATGAAGGCAAACATGAGGCTCTTGTGGAGATTCGGTGATAGAATTGAAAGTGTATCCTCCATACTGAAACAATAAGTACTTTTAATACTAGAAATCAATGCATTTGTAAAAGTAAACATTAGGCACTAAGATGACATATATAGTGTTTGGAGAAATGCCAAAAAATATATACTCAGGGGTATACGAGAATTGATGAACCAAATTAAATGTGTTTCCTGAACTGCAATTTTTTGCAAACCATGTAAAAGAGAAGTTACATACCCTAAACTTTAGACCATTGAACAATGATGGGCTTTGTTGAACTCTTTTCTCCCATACCTACACACATACACATTCTAAGAGGAGCTGATACATTATAATGTGTCAGGAAGTATGACCAAAACTATTTACCCCATATATAATTGTAGAAAAAGAACACAAATGAACAGGAAGAGTTACATGACACAAAATCCTATTTTGCACAAACGAGGCAGGCAGGTGAAGTCATACCGCATCAACTTAATATAAGTACAAACTACAAACCAAAGAGCACTCTCCCTCCATCCCAACATGATGCTTATATCTTCTTTTAAGAGATGTTAAGCTTCCTTACTTTCCAATTAAGGAAAGGAAAATGTGGCGCACAACATTTCTCTCACCTCTACATAAATTTCAATCACGCCTTTTTATTTTCCAACACTTTCCTTAAACTATGTGAAGTCAAATTGCAAACTTTTTTTTGGTATAGAGGGAGTATTACTTATCAAATTCCTCCTAGATTCGGTAAATTTGAACATTTATGAATGGCACACAAGTTTTAAGTCTAGTACTTCCTCTGTCCACAAAAGAACTTATGTTCATTGTTCAGGATTTCACACGATCAAACTATATCTTCTTCTTTCATTGCCTTCTTTCTTTCATCATTTGGGGAAATAAAATAGGTAAGCATTAAATATACACTAAAAAAAACCACAGAAAACATAGTAGTGTCCGATTCAGAAATTACGACAAAGCAGAATGCTAACCTCGGAAATGGAACCTTCCAGTAGAGGATCTCGATGCGGAACCCTATCGTACAATTGATCGAAAGCCACAGACATCTCCATTCATTCGAAACCAATAGAATCAAAAATTCGAATAACAGAAACGTAAAGGCGAAAGGTCTGAAATTAAGGTATACCTGAGAAGGAGAGATGCCGGAGGGGCACGAGAGGAGAAGCTTGAATTCGCTTCCGTCGGCTTTCTTCTCCATTATACATTGAATTCACGCACCCCCATTTTCTCTCTAATAAGTAATAACTGCTGCAAAGCAACGTGAAAAATGAAGGTTTCATTGAAAAAAGATGAAGGAGGCGAGTCAGTTGATAGTTCCGAACAAAGCCCATGATAATCGTAGGAATGCGCAGGCCCAATTTTATTCGATGAGGTAGCCCAAGTCTAATTTCATCTCTCTTTTTTTGGGTAAAAAAAGTAAGTATTGCTATATATATTCTCATTTCTCCATCCGTTTTCTAAAAAAAATCTCTCGATAAGAGTAAAAAGATTTGAAAATATTAAAACAGAAGTCCTAAGTTTTTTAAGGCCAAAATAGAAATATAATAACATTGAGGTAAACAATACGCGTTGGCACTTGGCAGTGTGATGGAAAAATGATGACAGTGTAATTTGGTAATGTGATCAGTCAACCGTCGATGATCTCCCAGCGCGCTCTAGTGGCTGGCGACGACAAATTGTAGTGCGATAGTGATAGTGTGGCAATTGTAGTGTGATAATGCGGTAAGTGTGGCAGTTTCACAATTCCTAGTTTGATCTTAAAAGACATAAGGCTTGTATTTTGGTATTTTCATAGTTTTTTACTCTTACCTAGGGAGTTTCCCCTTTCAAAAATTATTCCTGTTTTGACTTGAGACGAGTTTATTTTAGTAGTTTAACCTTCTAATAATATTCTTACCATCGAAGAAAAAAAAGATAGATCATTTAAATAACTTATTATATCAATACAAACGGAAAGAAGTATATTGTAATGATTTAATTTGAATACATTTATACAAAAATGAAAGTACTTTGGAGACAACAAAAAATGAAAGGACTATTTTAAAAAATGGATGGAGTAATTAGAGTCAGTTTGAGATCCATATGAGTACACAATCATATGAGATTATATACTCCCTATCCTTTCCACGAGAAATCAGTATATATAATGTTCTAGAGCTTTCTTGAATAGAGCTAAACTATCATTTTCATGTGGTTTGAGATTAATAAGTAGCTAGCTTAAATTTATCACTTTGTCAGGGGTACATTTAATTTGTCCTTTACTGCCAATCTTTAAATTGCCCATGCAGCAATGTATGTGTATATATGTATATATGTACGTGCTTCCTTTACGTTACCAGTAGTAAATACATATTTATGGGACGCAGTTCGTACTAGGGCCTAGCCTAGTGGTAAGATTTGTCATGGGCCGGGGATCGATCGGATGGATACATATATTACACTCTCTTCACTTTATCTGATTGATTTTGATTTGATTAAAATAAATTTTGATATGATATGATCTGAATGTGAAATAAGTTCTTCTTTTATTGACTTTTTGAAATTTAAGGAAACGATATTTTTGTGTTGATTTTCTAAAAATACTCTTGATGTGAAAGTAAAAGTAAGATGTGATAGATATATTATTAGTAAAAAGATATGATGTGATAGGTAAGGTAAGAATTAGTATGGATAAAAATAATTTTTTTTAATAAAAAAAGAAAAGAATTTGTGAGACATGAAGAAAAAGACAAAGAATTTAAAGGACGGAAATAGTATATAATATCACAGACAAACTCTAATTAAGCATTTGAACCCCGAGTCAGCTAGAGACTTTGAATTTACATCATGAATACCCCATCAAGATGTATTGATTGTATTCACTCAAAACTACTCCATTGCTCTCAAAAACAGTTTTTCTTTGAGTTTAACACAAAATTTGAAAATAAAATAAAATAATGTGGTCGAAATTGATACAGAAGAGAGAAAAATGACGAGCAAAACAAATATTACTAAAATTGGAATGAAAAACAAGTCCCTTATTTAAGAGGGGTATACTAAATTAAACAATATTTGACCAAGTGTGTATTTATAATTAGAAGCTTCTTTTGTAACAAACCAACAACCCAAAAACTTTAAATGCACACAAATGATACAATATGCATTTATTAGGTGAACAGTGTCACACTTTGTCCATCTCTAACATACTTATGTCACATGATGACAACTATTTTATGCAGAAGTTTCCTAGCAAATTAAAATGTATCATCACTAGCTAGCTGTATGTATGTATCATCATCAACACCATGCTATATATAGTATGTATATAATGACTTACAATTCTTTGTAATGACAATAACAATTAATAAAATGAGTATAAAAATCACTGGAACATATATATAATAACTAATTTAAGAAAAAAGGAATTAATAATATACTAAATCTTTGATGAGTATTTATTTAATTTGCTGATTGGCGATAAAAGTCTTGTGGGGGAGTAAAAGTGGCTGGATCTTCATTTTGGAGCCAACCATACTTATCCAAGAAAGGGTTGATTAGGGTTTTAGGTGGATAGGCATTAATGCAATCTTCCCATACATTTGCATCTTCCAAGTCTCGAACCACTTCCCACAAACAGCTGTTGCACTTAAAGCCAGCCCCAAAGCTGATCATGAACACCCTATCACCCTTCTTTAGCCTCTTCTTAGCCTCCATGTAGGAGAGGACATACCATAGGCTCCCAGCCGACGTGTTCCCGAATCTGTGGAGCGTCATCCTGGCTGGCTCCAGGTCGTGCTCGCTCAGGTTCAGGCTCTGCCCGATGCCGTTGATCACCGCTTTTCCTCCCGTGTGGATGCAGAAGTGGTCGACCCCGGTCTTGAAGTTGATGCCGGTGCGGGCCCCGCCTTTCGTCGAGGACCACCGGGCCTGTAGTTTGTGGTAGAGTGAAACGATCCCGTGGCGGACGAGTTCGCGGATGGGCAAGATTTTGGGGGTGATCTCTTTGAGGTTGTCCACGAAAGCCTGGGTTGCGGCCTTGGGGAGTGATTTCTGTAGTAAAAACCCGGTGCGCCCTTGTTCGTCCTCTTGTTGTATGCAACAACCGTACGATTCGTCTTTTGCACCGTGGTGCGTCCGGACTAGGCATTTCAACTTGAACATGGCTTTTTGCTTTAAAGCCACCTTGTTGGTCAGGAGGATTGCACATCCGCCTGACCTGAACAAGCAGTTGGTGAGAATCATGGACTTATCGTTCCCTGAATACCAATTCGGGCTCAACGACTCTGAAGTCAAGACAAGGGCATACAAGTTCTTGTGAGTCTTGAACATGTTTTGTACCAAATTGACGGATATGAGGCTAGCGCTACACCCCATGCCCGAAAGGTTGTACACCTTCGTGTCCGGTCTCATTTTGTAGTGGTTCACAATCCGAGCCGACAACGATGGCATAGGAGCAAACATGGATATGTTCACCACCAGCACGTCGATCTCCGAGGGCGAAATGTGTTGCCTCTCCAAGACATTGTCGATTGTGTCGTAGAAAAACTCTTCCATCTCCACGATCGCGTCCTGGTGGGACGCGACCTCTTCCCGGCCTTCCAGCACGACCCGCGGGCCATACGTCTGCTCGCCAATGCCAGCGCTGACGATGGCCTTTAGGAGGAACTTGTACTCGTTTAACCCGAGATTCTTGTTCCTCCAAATCAAATCCCCGCTCGACTTTGTCGTTAACATTCGGTCATCCGTGGGCTTGTAACATTGGTAGTCCAAAATGTAACAATTTTTGTGCCTCTTTCCATCTATTATCTTCCATATTAGGAAGAAGAGGTAGGAGAGAGGGAGGAGACACACCACTAGAGAGGGAATGGAAGCCATATCCATGAGATGATAGGATTATTAAAGCAATGCCAAATAGAGAGGTGAGAGAGATAATAAAGAATGTTGGGTTTTGATGTGGCTTCAAGCTTTAACTGAAAAGCTATATATATATATACGGAGTTTATATGTAGGATGAGGTGTTCTATCGTGTAAAAGGTCAACTTGATATTATTAAATTTATTTTTTTGTATCATATTATTATGAGAATTTATTTTTGATGTGTATATATATACTTGTATGACTTAGCATTGTTTTGGTGTTATTGAATATAGTGCTTCCGGTTTAAAAAAAAGTGAAATTTGCACTAAATAGGACTAAAACATAATGACTTTCCTAATGTAGGACTTAAATTTTTTTATTCCCTAAATAGGACTTAATAATGACCTAGTGGAAGGAATAATGTCCAGCAATGATGCACATTTAATTAAATAATGACTTCGTGATAATGACCAAAGGTCCTACATTGAGAAATAAAAACATATGGTCCTATACTCCTATATTGGGAAAGTCATTATGTTTTAGTCCTATTTAGGTAAATTTCTCAAAAAAAAAGTGTTTTTATACTTCCAAAACTCTATACCCTCTTTGCCTTTAGATATATATATATAAATATCATCTCTATATTTTCATCATCATTTTTACGGTAAGGAATATATTTTCATCATCATTTTTCTTAATCTCTATTTTTTTTGTAATTCTCATACCCATCAATGTAATATTTGTTCAATCAGATATTGTATATATGTAGTACTTTTAATTAAGAGAAGTTACTTAAATGGTACTAAAATATATTACTTTTTCAAATATAGTAGTTAGTACTATAATATTTTTATTTCTCAATATAAATATATTGAATATAGTGCTTCCGGTTTTAAAAAAAAAGTGTTTTTATACTTCCAAAACTCTATACCCTCTTTGCCTTTAGATATAAAAAAAATATCATCTCTTCCTTCATATCTCAAAATGAAAAACTTATTTTTTATGGTAAGGAATATATTTTCATCATCATTTTTCTTAATCTCTATTTTTTTGTAATTATCATACCCATCAATGTAATATTTGTTCAATCAGATGTTGTATATATCTTACTTTTAATTAAGAAAAGTTGCTTAAATGGTACTAAAATATATTGACTTTTTCAAATATAGTACTATAATATTTTTATTTCTCAATATAATATCACTTGTCATTATCCGTTGGGGTTATTGTTCAAGTAAATGTCCAGTGTTATTGGATATTGTTTAAACTAAATGTCCATCATCACTAGATATTATTCCCACTACTAGACATTATTCAAGTAATATTTAGGAATAAAAAAATTTAAGTACTACATTGGAAAATGACATATGTTTTATTGCTATTTTGTGCAAAAAATCCTGAAACCATTTTGTGAAACATAATATTTTTTTAAAAAATATTTTTTGTAAAACTCTAGCTGGAATCCGGTCAAAGTAGATTACTACCTCCGTTCCAGAATATTTGTCATGTTTTGACTTTTTAAGTCAATTGTTTTTTAACATTTGACTCATAATTAAATAAAATACATATTGTATATTAATTAGATAAAATAATATTTTGAAAATATTTTATATAATAAATCTAATAAAACTAGTTTTGTATCAATATCTAATATCACTTTTATTTAATTTGAAGCCAAACTTAATAATTTTGACCGAAAATGTCAAAAATGAACAAATATTCCGAAACGGGTGAGTATTAATTTGGGAGTCTATACTCTATAGTCTATACTAACAACAAGTTCTCCTTTCAGAAAAAAAAGACAGGGTCCATCAAGTTGCAGCCCTATCAAACCCTACAAAGAATAGACAAAGGGGATTTGTATATTCCTAGCTTTTATAAATAAATTTAGCAAAATATGCTTGTTTTTATTTTTTAAGCACAGGAAAATAGATTTATGATTTGAAAAAGATTTATTAATTGATTTTATTTGCCAAAATGTCATAGAACGTGATGAAAAGCCCACTTGTTAAGTACGTCCGACTATTTAATGACACATACCAAATTGCCAACACAAATTACAGAGTATAAGTGTATAACTGTATAAGGGATCTTTTTTGACATGTGCACTTCAAATTATGCTTAATACTCCCTCCGTCCCTAATTTGATTACAAATTGCGGATTACGGAGTAAAATTTTTTATTTTTTGAAATTATTTTATTTACAAATTGGTATATCAATAAAATATAAAAATTACATATTAAAAAACTACGTGAAAAGTTCTACAAAACAAGAGATGACAAGAATATTTTATTTTATCAAATACTTAATGAAATCGCGTAAACAAACAAAAGTTATCGAGAGGAGAGAGGAAAAAAATGTAATCCATTTAGGGACGGAGGGAGTACTACTTATTAGTAATAATGAAAAAAAGACTCTAGTAGAAATCAAATCAAGTAAAATGGTTAAGTTTTTATTTTTAAAGTATGACTTATAATGTCAATAATATCAATATTTAATATAAAAATTATTGTAACCTGGGAATAACCTGGGAATAAAAATGTGTCACACATAGATATACTTTGGGGATATGTATGTATTATTATTATATTTTACTCCTATTTTGGATAATATGTTAATAATTATCTTAGACATTTTTTACAAAATTATAATTTACCTTCTTTTTTTGACATTTTTTACAAAATTACAATTTACCTCCCATTATTTTTTTCTCATTCCACTTTTTTTTCTTAAGTTTATCATACTTCGTAGCTCTTTTTTTCTTTGTTTTTTACTTTTTGTTTATAATTCTATGAACTAGTGTCAAATGGTCAACACCCTTTTTAAGTTTTTTTTAGCACTAATAATTCTATTATAATTGTGGTACTTATTCATACATACTTTCTTAACCGACAAAATCTTTAGCGCCATTTTTAGAATTCTTCTTTTTTTATATATTGTAATGCAATGGTTTTTTATCTTAATTATTCGAGAAAAAATATGTTTGTTGACTTATTTGACTTAAGTTTTGTTGTTTATATATGGTATTGCAATGATAGAATTTTTCTTGGCTTAAGTTTTTTTTAATTTATTTCATTAAAAAAATTAGTACTTCCTCTCTCATATGAGATTCCTCTTTCTAGTATGTAGGTTTAATTTGTATCTACTTTTAGGACTCAAAATTTAATTTAACAGCAAATATATAGAAATCATAATCGAATCTTCTTAACAAACTTACTGTAATTAATACTCCGTAATGAATGTTCCAATAATTAACACCGGCTTGATCATGAAAAAGAAAACACGGAGAGTGGCAATCAAAGTCTTTTTTTTATATACAAATAAGAGTAAACATAATCTAATGCCCAAAATCATCTACTCATTTTGATTACTTGCCCAATGTATTATTGGTATCCAACACACTTTATTTGAACTACTTATAAAACTTTGTATCTTTTAAATTTATACAAAGTATATATTATTGAGTTACCCCGGAGTATAAAATACAACATACTCCCACCGTCACACTCTCTTTGTCCACTTACCTTTTGGCACACTATCTAATGCACTTCTTTAATTCATTTTATCTTGTAATTTGTATATTAAAAAATTATAGAAATTATATATTAATAATCTATGTGTTAAGACAAATCAAACAAGATCACACATGACTATATTTAGGCTTACACATTGAGAGAATCTGATGAGTCAAAGTGATTAGATGAACAGTTCCAAAAGTCAAAAGTAGACAAAGAGAGTTAGACGAAGGTAGTACATATTAAAAAAGTATATCAACGTTTAGAAGTTTAATTGTGTGTGTGAGTGCATTGGTATGTATCTACTCCCTCTCTTCCAGTATTAGTCACACTTCAAACAACATTATTGTAGGAAATTTCATCATTTTTAAATTAAACCATTTTATTCGCATTAGTAAAGAAATAAAAAATTACGGAGTACAAATTATTTTACATTTCAAAGCTGCTATATTGAAATTTTATATAAAACAAGATGCGAGATTAATATTTTATTATATTAAACGACAAACTAAAACGTGGAAACAAGCAAAGTTATCGAGAGTCCATGATAATACTTCATCCATCCAATGTATTTGTCCAGTTTGATTTTTTTTTTCAAATCAAACAAGATGAACTTTGAGCGTGAATTTAATCAAAACTGCAATATATATTAGTATAAAAGCGACTTTGTAAGATTTGTCTGCTCGAGAACTTGCTAAATTTTACTCCCTCCGTTTTCAAAAACACTTCCTCTTTCATTTTTTCCACTTCCAACAAAACACTTCCTCTTTCTATTAAAAAATCACTTTTACCCTTACTTTTTCATACCCTACTTATCACATCATACTTTTTCTCTAATAATCTATCCATCACATCTTACTTTTATTCATCACATCAGGGGCAAAATTGGAAATCAACTATAATTTAACACTTCCTTATTTTTGCCCCTAAATCAAATGGGAATGATTTTTCCAAACGGAGGGAGTATTTCATTATACTAATATAAATACAAATTTACAATGAAGAGTAATAGATATTCAAAGTTTATTCAATTTGAATAAAAAAAGTCAAACTACACACATAGTAAGAAGACAAAAGCAATATAAAAAGGTTCGTGTGAAATTATTTGAAAAAAGTGCATAAATAAATTGAAAGGGAAGAAGTCAAAATTGTATTTTCATTTTTCAATCATTTGACTTTTAGGTCTTGATATAAACGTTTTTACTACGGAGTATTACTCTATTAGAAGCCGGCATTTGGGTGACCAAGACACGGTATAGGCCGTGTTTGGAAAACAGCATTTCGAATAGCTTTTGACATCTTTGACTGACTTTAGCTTTTTTGACCAAGCGAACTGCCAAAATAATTGTTTGGCTAATGGCTTTTTCACTTGGTATTTTGATTCGAAAAGCCAAAATCTGAAATGCCAAGGAGAGTAACATTTGGACTTGGCGGTTAGGAAAAATAATTGTTTTAAAATCATTTTTGTTGAAATATATTTTATAATATATGTAAAAAATAAAAATAAAAATAAAGTTAAAAAAATTAAATACTAAAAAAAATAAAATTTGAAATTTGAAAATTTCAAAAAATGAAATGAGAAAATAAAAAGCAAAAATCATTAAAAAAATTATATTAATAATTTA